ACGGTGCCACCGGCCCCAGCCCGCCGCTCCCCGCCGCGCTAATCCCGGCCTGGGTCTGTCACTCCGCCCCGCTGACAGCCCTGGCAGCCAATGGGAAACCTCCGCCGGGCGCCGCGCCCCGCCCCACCCGGGGGCACCGGCACAGGCGGAACGAGGAGCAGCCGGACCCTCACCGGCCCTGGGGTGCATGTCCCCGTGTGCGGGCGGGCGCGTCCCGGTGTAGCACCGTGCACGTCCCCGTGTCCCAGCGTGCACGTCCCGGTATAGCACATCCTTGCGTGCCGGCATAACACCATGCGGGTCCTGGTGTCCCGGTGTGCACATCCCCACGTGCCAGTGTGAATCTGACCTCGTGCACCGGCAGGCGCGACCCCATATGCCGGTGTGCGTGTCCCAGTGTAACACCGCACATGTCCACGTGTCCTGGTGCGCACATCCCCGTTCATCAGCGCGCACACCACCATGCGTGGCGCGTCCCTGCTCAGCAGCCTGCAAGTTCCTGTGCAACTGCGGGGACGTGTCCTCATGCATGAGCATGCACAGCCCTGCGTGTTGTGCCCTGTGCCGCAGGGTACAGGTTGCCCCCAATCCCCACCACTGCTTGGGGACCACGAGACAAGAAGACAAAAGCTGCTGTGTGGCCTGGGCCATTGGCCACCCCCAGCAGGCCACTGGCCCTTGCCCTAGGGCACAGGCCCCATGCTGCAGCTCACCTCTCCACTAGTCCTCGCCCTAAGCGCACTGTGGCCACAGGTGCCAAGGAGTCCCAGGCCACCAGGGACTTGACATCACCATGTCACCAGCCACCCCAAGGATAGAAGACGCCATCCCAGGCTCAGGAAACCACTTCATGCTACAAGGGGAAAAAACGCATCCTTTGTGTCCTGCCCAGGCACAGGGGCTCTGCTGGCACCAGAGGCACATGTGAGCAGAGCTCGCGTGGGGCAGTTGGATGCCAAGGAGAGGGATGCTGTGGCAGGGCCCCCGGCCACCATGCTGGGTCTGCACACGGCAGCCGCTGGGGCTGGCAGCCAGCGGTCCCTGCCTGCCCAGGCTGCCAGATTGATGCGCTATTAAACAGCACTTTACTACCCAGCTCAGCAATCGTTATTAAATGTGTGTGAGAAGAGAGGCTCAGGGGATCTGGGGCCTCACGTGCACACTGTGTCTACAGGAGGAATTTGGGGAGAGCTGCCCCTCCTTGCTGCTTTCCTTGACTGCAGCAAGCCCAGCCCTGTGCCAGCCTGCCCTCATTGTCACCCAGAAAGCGTGTCTCCTTCTCCCCTCCCAGGCACAGGTAGTGGGGAGAAAGCAGCAGGCTGGGCAGGCTCTCCTCATATTTAATGCATTGAAGCACTGCCATTTTCTCCCTCCTTCTCCAGGCTCCTGCCTGCACAGAGTCCCTCTCCCCCACACTGGGGACTGTGGGTCCCTGAGCTGCCTCACATAGAGCCAGCTTCCCTGGCAGAGAAGCTGGGCTAATTAGGGGCCTCGCTGCTGCGGGATCAACGACCTGATTCCTTCAGCAGCTTCTTGATGGCAGGAGGGAGGGGAGGGGGGAAGCTTTTCTCTAAGCCACAGCTGGAGTGACAAATTTAACCGAGTGGAAGAGCTCAGAGCTTTCCCAGTGTGTCCGTACCAGGACAAGGCATGCCTACACCTTCCCAGCACTTGCAGGCAGCCCTGCTGAGAGCTGCAAAGGGTAAAGAAGAGGTCCTCTCATGCCACCCTGGCTGGAGATCCAGGCCATCCACAGAAAACACATTCCTTTCCACTCCATGCATACTTAGCCCACAGTAGCTGTTGCTCTCCCTACCGCACTCTGCTCTGTATCCCCCTCACCTTCCCACAGCCCTAGGACTCCTAAAGAATGTGCCCACATACATGGGTCTGGCCAGCACTGACATAAGCCCCACTGGATCAGGATTTAGCCCTGGCTCCTCAGGTCCCTCCTGCTGTGAATCCCTCCCCAGGTGATGTGGGGCAGGAGGGGGCAGGGAACCCCTCTGCCAGGTGACAGAAAGGGACAAGGAGAGTCCCCCATGCTCCATCCCACAGCCCCAACCCAGTGGGCTTAGCTAGGGAGCAAGGAGCGCAGTGCACTGGGAACCCTCTTTACTGTCACTTGGGCACTTCAGCACCTCCAGTCCTTGCCTGCAGGTACCACATCCTTCCTGCGTGAGGGTCCACCTGGCTCCATGTCATCCCTTTCAGCCTCCTGGGCTCTGCCAGT